ACAATAGCTCTTTGTAAGGAATATACCCCTCAGAACAATCAACCATGGGAGAACAAAAGGGCAGCATTTCCCCCCAAAACAAAGCTCAGAAGCAAGAAGGGGAAGGGAAGACAGATGAATGGATATGGGGAACCCAGGGAGGAAACTGCTGTTAGGTTGAAGGGATGGCAACTAATGTTGTGAAGCAAAACAGGTATACATTATTGCAGGGAGAACTGCTTTGCTCTGGAAACTTTCACCTGAACTACAATAAAAGTTAAAAAAGAAGAAGAAGAATAGATTATGAAAAAGGCAAGAAAGATTAAATTACCTACGAAAGACTTGGAGTCAAATAGACATTGACAGATCTTCCTTCATAAATTTGAGCAGGGGATTTGGATTGCCACAATTGCAGACAGGAATGGCAATATCTGGATACACGTAGATAGCATCTTACATATACATTGAGTATACTTGATTTTTAAAAAGTAGGTACAAAATATATAAGGCATCACATGAAAATTTTAACAACCTTCCCTTCTCCCTGGGAGAAAGACCAGGCTTTCTTGTCCCATAAAGAGTTGGGGAGGAGATGTGGGAAGATGACGTGGAGATGGAGTCCCCTGCCCAGAACTCCCCTTGCGTGGCCCAGATACCACAGGTGAGGGGGCCAATTCTGGGAATTTAGATGCGGGATTGAGACTCTTGGCACTCCAGGGTTAGTTTACACCTCCCTCTCCATATTTACCCCACGGAGAACTTAGCAGAAGGTCTCCCCTACCTCTGTAGGGTCAGAGGGGCTTCAAGTGTCAGCCTCTTTCCTTCTCCCCTTATTCTGCGACCTGCCTGCCAGGCCAGCGTCGGGAACACCCCAAGGCAGACCACCTCCCAAGAGGAGCCCACGGTCCCATGTCCTCAGGGACCACTGGAAGTCCTGGTGGCCGAAGGACAGAGCCTTCATAGCCTCCCCCCCTTACCGGTGCCTTCTCCTCCCCCTCGGTGCCAGGGCACAGCTCTGACGGCCTCCAGATAAATCATCTCAGCTCTCAAAAAGGTTTGGCCCTGGTAAGTCAGAAACACAACTTGATCTCTCTGGGGGCTTCAAGAGTATATTAGATTTTTTCCTATATTCTTTTGAGAAAGAAAACCACAAATTTTATTCCCACCAGAGGAACTGGACCCTAGCATTCCTGTGTTTCTGGGTGGCTTCCCGTCCCCTATCTAGGTGTCTGGCTGACTTTACTTTTTTACTTCCAATTTAATTCGTTTGTTTCCTAGCCCTGTAACACACCATCTGCCCAGAAATGCGCACCCACAACAGAGATGTGGGGTGTAGCTCAAGGCGGAACTGTACTTGCAGAGGCTCCACACACCCACAGTGCAGGAGTGCTGTGCCTTTGGGGAAATTGACAATGTGTTCAGTGTAACTGCCTTACACCCCAGGGCGATGACGGGCAAAGTTCTTTTTTGTTTCTTAGGGGTTTTGTTTTCCTGCCTTTAGTTTCTTTGCCTGTTTTCTGTTTGGTTTGTCGCTGTTCCTGATGACATTGGTCTTGTAGGGTTTTGATTTTGCCATAGTACCACTGCCAAAGTAAGCCTGAGTCATGCGTATCCCATGGACAAGCAGATGGAGTCTGGGCTCCTACTGAACCCTAGGCCAATCCAAGATCAGCAAGTTCTGAGAACATGGCCTGCTTGATATTCACCTTCATGAAATCATCACTGAGGATAAGAGTGCTACAGCAAAGTGTGGTGAAGAACGCAGATGGTGCCCAGCTATCAGTTGGAATGGTGTCTGGGGTCTTAAAGGCTTGTATTTAAGCAAGCAGTCTTTAAGCAAGGAGTCAACTAAGTCCACATGGAATAAGCACACCAGCTTGTGTGATCCAAAGATGACAATCACAAAAGTCAGATAGATATGATGGAGGGAAAAGCATCAGCGCTAAGATTATGAACTATTTGTAGAAGCCGATGGAGGACAGTGGAGCCCAAACCCATCTGCAGAGCATCTAGTCAGATGAAGCCACTGGCAGATCCCCTCTTCCCACAGGCAAGGGGCTCAAACCATCTTACTATCACACAGATATCATGCTAATCTTAATTGTGCTGGATTAATCTTGATATTTGGTCAGTTGGCCTCCCTATTGACCCAACCTGAATTTGTTCTAGGTGCAAGTACCTCTTGCTTGATCTGTGACAAAAATGTCTTCGCTGAATTTAAAAATATTTATGGTGGTCTTTTCTTTCTTACTCATTATTTGTATTTTTATCTTAGTATTATTATTTTACCCTTACCATTTTATTTCTTTCATTTGTTTGTTTCTATTGACTTTTCCAGTTTGTGAAGCACAGGATTGGATTCATAAAGATAATAACGGGTACAAGGGTTTTTAGGGGGTATAGGAGTAGGGGGTGGGAGATAGGAAGGGTGAGGGGATCTCAGGAGGAAACAATGAAGGCGGGATGGGGGAGGAAACACTAGAACTGATTTTAATTACTCAACTAATTTTACAGGCAATTTAACCATGGGGGGAAGGAGGACAAGAGAAAATGTTCTAAAATTGATTGCGGAGCTGATTGTACAACTCTCCTTGATTTGATTGAGCTATTGAATTGTATGATACATGAATTATATGCCAATAACTCTATTTTTTAAAAAGGCCAAATAAACTACAATATTTAAAAAAACAAATCACACCACACATGCTCCCACCTTGTTTCTGCTGGGTCTTAATATTGTTTTCCAGCAGCCTTTTTAAGGCATTTTGCTTTCTTTCAGTTGCTTGGAACTTGCAAGAAGAACAATATATCCTGCAACCTGTTCATCCAAACATACCGAGAAAGTCATCTCTCTGACACTTGTTTCTGTTGTGAAGTTCTTCTGTATGAACTAGTGCTACAAATAACCTTCTGCACGAATATGCTGACAGGTCTTACAATATTTCTGAGTCTTTGTTTTACATTTTTGGGAAATGTCAGTATTTCCCATTAGAGTTAAAAGCATCATAAACAAAATACACAGCTATGAAGATGTATGCAAGATAATAGCCTCAATCACCATTATTGTTTTACAAAATTAATAGTGAATAAAGAATTAGAAAAGTTTTAAAAAAAGTTACAATGTTGGAAACTCCCAAGGGCAGTTCAATGCTGTCCTATAGGATTGCTATTAGTCAGAATTGACTCGGTGGCAGTGAATAGGGGTTGTTTTTGGTTTGGGGTTCCCACTTCAATACCAGGATGATATTACTAATATCTTCTCACATTCCTCTAGCTAGCTAAAATCCATCCATTCTTCAAAGCTCAGGTTTTATAATTGTAATGACAAATATATTAGTTAAGTGGCACGGATTTGTTTCACTAAAACAGTCACCTCCTCTCCACACAACATGCTCCCACACACAGGCGTCAGAAGTCTCGCAGCTCTATTGATGCTTTTCAAATTCCTTAAAAGCAAGCCCGCAAGTAACTGGGCAGAAGGGTTTCATTCTGTCGGAGCAAACGTGCCCTCCCATACAACCATTTAATCTGAAGGATATAGAGGTTTAGTTCCAGACCAGGGTGGAAAGTTCAAACTTTCTCCAAAAATGACCACAGCAGAACTCAGCTGATCTTAATGAGACAAGCTATGCTACTTGGGATGCAAATTGTAGAATCTTTTTTTTTTTTT